CTGCTGCCTGCCTCTAAAAACATGTCTCCATTTTTCATTTAGGAAAATATAATATTCTGCCTTTTTTTAATATTCTTCTAAATATTTCATTCTTCTAGGAGGAGAGGCTTCACACACACACACACACACACACACACACACACACACACACAGAGAGAGAGAGAGAGAGAGAGAGAGAGAGAGAGAGAGAGAGTTTTAAAAGTGACTACAAGCAAAACAGCAGAATTTATGCGACCAAGTATTGTTCATCGTACTTCCTAACATAACTATTTGTTGCCATAGGACAGAAGAACACACCACATTATGAATTCAAGCTGGTTTAATAATTTGCAGATCCTTACCTATTTCCTAGTTATATAGCAGGCCTTTATAAAGGCACCTAAGAAAGGATCTTTCCTGAGACACTTGAGTCAGGATACAGTTCCTAATTAATACGAGATAGTGTATTTTAGTTTTGATAGTGTGTTGTTGGGGTTGTTTTTGGTTTGTTTGTTTGTTTGTTTTTGCTTTAGAGGTATGAATACTTTTTCATTTGAATTTTTGATTAATTAATTCATAGTCTGCCTAGAGTCATGTTGTTTGAGATGGACAGCCATATAAATGTTCTAAGTAAAAACAATTCATAAATAATAGTCAGAGGGAGCCAGGGAAAGATTGACTAGAATTATGTTTGTTTTTCTCTTTCACGGGAACCGATCAGAGCCAAAATGCTATTTGAGCCTGAGATTTGGAGATTGCCTTCAGCTCCGAAACTCAAGGGGAAGCAGGGTAAGGCAGGAGACCTTACCAAAAGAGACGCTTGTTCATCCACATGCTCAGAATGTAAATAAAACCATGGCTTTGCTGAGATTATAAATTCAGCAAGGGCCAGAAACACATTAAGTGATCCTGCTTTTGCATTGCTCTACTTTCATGGGGTCACTGAAGTCTAGCATTTTGAAGGTGCCTTCCATAACCTCCTCAAACATGTTATTAGGATTGTAAGCAGTTGTGAAGAGTAGAGCAGGACAAAGAAATAGGTCAACTTTTAAATCTCTATAGTCATGTGATGTTATGATACTGAAGTAAATTGGGAGTGGGAAGGACATCACCCAAACCAAAACAAAAGTTTCAAAGGACAAGAAATGTTTCACCCTTGTTTAACAGGGAACTATATGTGGTTTTAGTGACACAGAAATGAGGAAATACATCTGATACATATTTTTAGTAAGAGTGTGATTCTTGACATGTAGCTGGCTAGGAAGGGTTGGTGAGCAAAGGGCAAGGAAATATATATAGTTATGGCAAAAAAGTGGCTTTTCCCAGTCATTTGGCCACAATTTCTCCTTTACACTGCTTGAATATTTCTAACTTTAAAATATAATATTAATTTGACATATGAAATTATGTCAAATTATGTCAATTAAATTGTTATATATCTACATATATATAAAAGCGAAATGCCATTTATGCATCATCACAAAATATCCAGAACCGTAAAGTCTACAAACTTGAAATTTGCTACATATGTTCCTCTTGGCTTCTAGGTGCTCACTAAGAAAGGATGTTTCGAAATGACCATCAGAGCATTAGTATTTCCTATATTATTATTAACATGCTCTGATGCTAAGGAGTTCTACTCCCCCTCCCCACCTGAAAAGAAATCTGTTCCAAATGCAAAACACAAGCAGAGGAGACAAGTTTCAGTTTTACTTTCACAGCAGCAAGCAGGGGGATAGGATAGGGGAGGCTTCTATGGGGCAAGCCTGAGGTAGAGAAGGGGGATAAGATAGAATAGGATAGGTTTCTGTGGGGCAAGGCTGAGGGAGAGAAGGAGATAGGATAGGGGAGGCTTCTGTGCGGCAAACCTGAGGGAGAGAAGGGGATAGCATAGGAGAGGCTTCTGTGGGGCAAGCCTGAGGGAGAGAAGGGGATAGGATAGGAGAGGCTTCTGTGTGGCAAGCCTGAGGGAGAGAAGGGGATAGGATAGGAGAGGCTGGTTGTCACTACTCAACACTGTAAGTGTCGATTTATCAAGCCCAATCACATAGTTTAGTAGCGGAGCATGGGTATTCAGATAGTATTGTTATATATATTGTTCTTAATGTCACATACAGTAACAACAATGAAAACAATTCTTAAACTACAATATAAACTAACTGTGGCATTAATATTTCAGTTAATATTTTTCCCAGTTTTTCTGGTATCTATGACAAAACGTATAATCTATAAATATGTTCCTTCTGCTAACTAAATTATTTTCAAAGTGATATACCACAATAAAAAATAATACACTCAAATGAAGGGCTAATGTTTCATCTTGTCTTTTGGGATAGAGGACATATCAGAAATAAAATCTTTGCAACAATGCATATAGAAAAACTAATAATAACAAGGAAACCTTAATTGGTGGTTTAAACTTGAACAGTTAGCAGCCAAACTCTGTCCATGACTATTGTTTTAATAAAAATCATAAGTCTTATTCCCCATATAAAGTGGATTTACAAGGGTAATCCCTATTCAGATGACTCATGAACTGGGGGAGCAGGATTGAGCTGGAACTTGCTATCTTTTCTTATTATCAGTGCACTTGGTCTTCTGTTCAAAGCCACAACTGTTCAAAGGTTATGAAAAAAACATGTTCTACATGCTCACAGACTTGATTCAGAAGATCAGATTAACAAAATAAGGAGTGAGAGCCTGAGATTGAATATTGATTTAAATGTGATTGACATAGTAACAATTGACCAGATACATACATCTTTTCCAACTTGCCATCTCCAGATGTGAAAGGTTTTTCCAAACAGAATGACCATTAATTGTAAGCTTAAACATGATTTATAAACTGCAGTCCCTGAGTTCTCACAACACACTGAGCCAAAACTGAATAAAACACATATAATGCAGTGGTGGTTTTCACTTACCTTACTGGTTCACTAGCGCACATGCGCTTGTTTCGCTTGTGTGTGCGCCACTTCTGCACATGGGCAGAAACTTCTGCGCATGCGCAGAGTGTATTTGATGACGTCCGGGTGGGTGGGCAGGACGAACCAGGGCAAACCGGTAGCAACCTACCACTGATATAATGGCTTAAAATAAACTGTATACCAATAATCAGAATTTATCAAATTTATTTTTGCATCCCTGTGACTGTCTGAATAGAGCTATTAAGGAAACAGTCCATCAAGAAACTACAGTTATATTAGATCATAAAACCTTTGGGGGGGGGAAGGAAATTCACTCACAAACTCCAACAAAGGAATTTTAAATATATTTTTTTTCAGGGTTCAATGTTGTTTCCAAGTTCTGGATCATTAGCAGTATCCCCGAATATCTCCCCTATTAAACTTTTCCAAACTGACATTGGAACTTATAAATTCTCAATTCCAGATCCATGGTATTCTTGTTCTACCTCTTAGGCGGAGTAATTTATGTATATTTATCACTTATGTATGATTCCTATTTAACTATATTTGCAAATGTTTGCAAAACATCAAACAAAGGCCACCAGAAAATCAGTCTGTATCTCTTTTCTAACCAATGGTAAAATTGATCCCATATCTTAAAGTATTCTGAATCCTCTCTTCTTTAATCATCAGAGTTAATCTATTCATTTCTGCACAGTCTAATTTTTTTTAAATTACTTCTCTTTCCAAGGGTATTTTCTTATGATTTCCAATTTTGTGCAAAAACAATCCTTGCAGCTGTTATTACATGTATAATCAAATAGGTATTTTCTTTACTAGTTTTCTCTGGAAGGATATCCAGTAGGAACAGCTCTGGTTTTAAATCTATACGTTGTTGTATCATTTCTTCCAACCATGTCTTAATTTTGTTCCAATAGTTTTTAGCTTCTGGATATGTCCACCACATATGATAATAAGATCCTGGTAACTGGTGACATTTCCAACATTTAGCTGATTTATCTTTAAAAATTTTTGCCAGTTTCTCAGGGGGCATATGCCATCTGTAAAACATTTTATATAGATTTTCTTTATATGCAGTGGACATTGTTAGTTTGTAATTCCTTTCCCATAACTGTTGTCATTTGTCTAAATTGAGTATCCAAAATTCTTTGCCCAAACTATCATTGTTTCCTTTACTTGTTCTTCCTCTAACTCAATGCCAAGCAAGAAATTATAAATACTTTTAATTAATTTGTCCTCTGTTCCTGTGAGTATCCTATTTAACTCTGTCTTTTCTAAGTAAAAACCATGTAATTTAGCATCTTTTTCATATCTTGTTTGTATTTGCATGTACATATACCAATCCATCTCAATCCCGTTGTTCCAGTTCTCGTTTCCCCTTCAATTTCCCCTTATCTGTTAGTAACTCTTTATATCTAACAGCATTTCTAAAATTAGAGATATTTGGGTGTATTAAAGCTTCCATTGTTGATAACTATATTGGTATTTTCACATAATATTTGTCTCTAACTTTCTCCCATGCCAATAGCAATGCGTTCCTTATATAATGTCTATGAAAGTATGTGTGTACCTTACTTCTACCATACCATAAAAATACATGCCATCCCAATTGTAAATCATGACCTTCCAATGTTAATAGTCTTATATTTCTTAATTCAACCCATTCCTTCATCCAAGTCAATGCTGCTGCCTGGTAATATAATTCCCAATTTGGCAGTCCAAATCCTCCAAGCAACTCTAATTCTTGTGGACTTCAGCTACCAGAATTCCCCAGCCAGCCATGATGGCCAGGGAATTATGGGAGTTGAAGTCCACAAGTCTTAAAGTTGCTGAATTTGGAGACCTCTGACTGAGACAGACCACTTGATCTTTGAAATCTTGTTTCAAAATCCTATGAGTCTTGTGTAATACTAGAAAGAAGAAATGCATCGGAGAACCTAGGCTTTCTCTGTGGACTGAGTGAAGCAATATTTTCAGTGAAATTGACTGCTGGAGATTTACATAGAAGAGGCACACCCAGGAATGCTGCTGGCTGCAGTGGGAGTTACCCTTCCTCCATTACCTCGCTCTCTTCCTCCATGTGATGTTTTTAGTCACACCCATCTTCAGACCTGAACTTTTGGTAGCGCCTGATTCCACTTAGAAGATACTTGCTCTTATTTCAACGTTTCCTCTCTGCCCTGCTCCCACAGATGAGGATGCATTTATCCCCCTATCACCCACTAAAGCGAAGCTTGCCTTTAAACTGTTCAGATCTGACTTTCTAATGTGGACAAGCAAGTGGAATCTAAGAAGAGCCGAGTGCTTCTGCCAAGATACTGTTTTCCACCCGTTCCATACAGGTGAGTTGGGCAGCTAGTTGAACACGTGGACAGCTATGGGGAAAAAATACCCTAGCTTTTCTTTTTAACAGTTCGTTTTCCAAAAATATGTATAACTTCCTTTTTCTTCCTTGCCTATTTGAATCTGGCTTTCTTCAGAAAAGTGGTTTTTAAACGGGGGGTAATTATTAGGAGGGTAATTTGGGCATATCCTGGGTGTAATGGAGCGATTTGTAATTGTGAGTTGAGGATCCTTTTTTTCGACTGCCACTGCTGAGACGCTTGTCTAAAATAACAGTCTTTTTTTCTGTTGGGGATAGTGTCATTTAGACCAGGAAAAGGGCTAATTAGATCAAAGAGTTTCTGCTCTAGAATTTATAGCAGGAAGAGAATTTTTATTCTTTTATAATTTCTTTTTTAGCTGCAGCTGGTTTAGTTCCAATCAGACAGCTAAATATTTGGTGAAGCTTTATGCAGCAAAATAACGCTTGTATCAAGATCCAGTCAACTTAATACTTTAGAATGTTTTAGTAACAGAAATCACATCTACTCTTATTTTCATCCTCTTCCAGACTTCATAGATAAGTCTTGTTTCTTTTTAGGCAGCCATTTAAATGTGTATGTGACATTTCACCTTACCAAAAGAATGAATAACTCACTGGACTGTAACTAATTCAGTAAGAACAGTTTTCAAGTCCATTAACTATTTTATAGTTCATGAAAATGGAATGCAGTTGTTGGACGTGTGTGGAAAATTTGAAGGGCAATATATGATTTAGAACATACATGAAAACCCAAATAACCTCTGGTGGAAAATTGTAAAGTAGCCATGTCTTTCTCCAGAATCACAGTGCCTCCCCTCTGTCTTTTGTCCAATCTGCTTAATGATCAAGAAGCAGGAAATTGGTATCAGTTTCATTTCATTGTTGTGGGCTATTTTTATTGCAGTAAATACCCAGCTTTATTTGAATGTGTACTTTATTTATCACGTAGGCAAACAGATGCATTTCACTGTACCTGCTGAGCCAATGGTCTCTCTCTTAAGTCTACTTATTGTTCTTTCTTCATATACATCACAGTTTCTTTCCAAATTCTATCAAGGTACCTTAGTTTTTAAAGTATAAATTACAAGGTTACAAAGTTATCTGAAGGTGATAGTTTTCATATCTTACGGGAAGTGTCCTCAATCTTTTTGGGTTCTGGGTGACCACATTGAATGGGAATTTTGAGAACATGATATAACCACTCCCATCCAATTGCTGCCATTTGGGCATGATGGTAATAGTGTAGTGTGGTGAGGTTGCTGCACATCACTGTTTCTCAAACTTGGCAGTTTTTAGATACATTATGTGGGCTTCAATTCCCAGAATTCCCCAGGCATTCGTTTTGGCTGAGGAATTCTAGGAGTTGAAGTTCACAGATTTTAAAGTTGTTGCCAGTGTTGAAAAACATTTCTCTACATCATCCCCGCTAACTTCTGAGAGTGTTCTCTTACTCCTTAAGCCTATTGTCACCTTTCCTTTCTGGCAGATGTTCTAACCAAACCTAGCATGTTAAATAAAATGAAAAAGGTCATGGAATTTGAAAGGCACCAGGGAAGCATTGCTGGACCTAGTGATAGCACTGGTTATCACAGTGAAAACAAAAGTGATAGGAGTTTTGTAAGATTTATAGCAACAGTTTGCAACTTTGCCAGACTTCAGAAAAGTAGAAGGCCAAGGCAAAAAATAAATATGATTTAATTTACTATTACTGTTCTTTGCACACAATCCACCAGATAGTTATTACTGATTTTGCTAGTTTTGACTATTAGACTATTGAATTTTCCTCAAGGATCTTGGATAATTAATGGTATCACAATATATGTTCTTTTCTAAGTAATACATCTTTCTCTAATTGATGAATTGAGGCTCATTTGCGCTTTTCCAGGAATAATAATGATGCCGCCACCACCAATAATAATAATAATAATAATAATAATAATAATAATAATAATAATAATAGTGTATTTTAAATTGAAGTTAGTGATTCTTTTGCTACATCTTGAAAGACACACAAATGTCAGGGTTTCAAGTAACACCCCCAATGAACTCAAACTCCGAGGCTTGAAGTTCCTCAAAGCTAACTTTTATTAGAGATGTCATATTGGCACATCTGGGAAAACCCAAATCTGAAAGCTTCCGGGTTTTCCTCACCCACAAGAAAGTTCAAGACCTTACCCACATCTCCACATGTCCACACAGCTCCAATCAGTTCTTTCCCAAACAGATTCCAATTTGTTCTTTGCACAGCTGCCGGACACCATGGCCTTGAACTTCTCTTAGAGAAGTTTGTTATGGCTATCTCTACTTCACTCATGCAATCCCCCCTCCCAACTTCCCACGGTATGATTGTGGCAGGCCTGGATCCTCAAGGCACACAGGTAACATGGCTTCCAGGCATGAGAACAAGTCGATTATGGCACAGGGTAGCCTACAGGCAGGAATGAAATTCAGCAGGTTCTAACAGGTTCTGGAGAACCGGTAGTGGAAATTTTGAGTAGTTCAGAGAACCGGCAAATGCCACTTCTGGCTGGCCCCAGAGTGGGGTGGGAATGGAAATTTTCCAATATCCTTCCCCGAGGAGGGGAGGGAATGGAGATTTTTCAGTACCCTTCCCCTGGAATGGGATGGGAATGGAGATTTTGCAATATCCCAAGTCACGCCCACAGAACCGGTAGGAAAAAAAATTGGATTTCACTCCTGCCTACAGGTAGTGCTCAACTTACAACCATTCATTTATTGACCATTCAAAGTTAACGATTGAAAAAAGTGACAACCATTGCAGCATTGCCACAGTCATATGATCAAAATTCGGATGCTTGGCATTGGCCATGAAAGCCAACTCGGTGATTTTGGCCCAGTCACTCTCTCTCAGCCCAACTCACCTCACAAGGTTGTTGTTGTTCTGAGGAAAATGGGAGGAGAAAGAAACATTAGATATATTGGCCACCTTGAGTTATTCATAAAAATAATAAAGGCAGGACATAAATAAATAAACTGACATATATTTACAGCAGCCGCAGCACCCCAGGGTCATGTAATCGCCATTTGCAACATTCCCAGTTGGCTTCCAGTAAGCAAAGCCAATTGGGGAAATTGGGTTTGCTTAATGATCACTTGATCCACTTAACAAATGCAGCCATTCATTTAACCACAGGGGCAAAAAAGTTTGTAAAATCGGATGCAACTCGCTTACAATGGGCTTGCTTAGTAAAGGAAATTCTGGTCCCAATTGTGGTCGTAAGTCGAGGATTACCTGTAGAAAATTTCTAAATAAATAACATTTAATGGTTTCGCATTTGTCATTTGGTGGCAAGTTTTTGGAGGAGTTTTTATGTCTATGCACTGAAAAATGGTTGGGTCCTCCTTAGCACATTCCAGATCTAAAACAATATGATAATATCTGAAGCACAGACAGTTTGAAAGGACTCTAGCAATGTTTTTATATAATTATAAACTCTTTTAGCAAACAAAAAAAAATTCTCTAGGATAGTGTGTATCATGAGGAATTCTGGGGATTGTAATGAAACAACATCTGGAAGGCTGTGAATCCTCATATTTAGTTTTTTGTATGGGAGGTGGCTAACTCTTTGAGATAAATCGTTGGGAATCATCTAAGCAGCAGAAATGTCAGGTGTTTTTCAGGTTTAATCCCACTGTGGTTATTCTGCAATCCTATACACATTTGGTCAGAATTATATCGGGGCAGCACTATAGTTCCATGGGCTTTCATAAAGATATGCAGTTTGAAAATTACTGCATTATCATCATGGTATTGCAAATAATTCTGTTGACTCAGATCATGCAGAGCTCAATAATCAGAAAACAGTGTGGGAGAGGCTCCAAATTCACTGGAACAGTCATGTATGTAACCATGCACAGACAAAATGGCAAATTATTAACTTCCTTTATAAATAAGTGAGGTAAATTCCAAGAGGCTAAAGAACATCCTGGTTCAATTTCAATTAACAGGACTTTTTTTATGAACTCCAAAACAGGGCAATTTGTTCTGCTAATTATCCATATTTAAGAATTCATGAGAGAGCCACTTATTGTAGTTATTAAGGCATCAGGATAGAAACTAGGAGACTATGAGTTCTAATTCTGTTTTAAGCACAAAGCTAGCTTTGCGTTCTTCGGCCAGTCACTTTTTTTCAGCCCTAGAAAGGAGTCAATGGGAACCGCTTCTGAGAACCTTCCCACGAAAACTTCAAGAACTTATACAAGGGCTCTCCAAGAATTGAACATGAAGAATTTAGGATTAATTGAAGGAATATAGCAGGGGTGGGTTCTACTTACCTTTACCACCGGTTTGCAACGGGATCGGGCGTGCACGATTGCTTTGCTTGTGCGCGTGCCTTCTGCGCATGCGCAGATCACTGATGACAACATCCGGGGTGGTGGGTGGGGCCTCCCGCCGGCTTTACTACCGGTTCTGGTGAACCAGTCCAAACCGGGGGCAACCTACCACTGAAATATAGGGAATATAATACCAAAGCCTCTTTGGTTGTGCAAAAACCACACTTTTTTCCTTAAGTTTTAGCAGGAAATTATAGTAATTTTATTTTAAAATACAATTAAAAAGATAACAAATACGAACTAAAAAAAGGGGGAAAAAAAGAAAGTGTAGAAAAGAAAAAATAGAATAGAAAAGAAAAAATAAGAGCATAGTTTTAAAAGGAAAAGAAATATTGTATATAACCCAACTCTTATCTGTAACAAATCTCCAAAACCTCATTGTTCAATCCTAGTTAGCAAAAATCTATTAACGGTTACCAGAGATAACAACATACTGTGTTTCCCTGAAAATAAGACCCTGTCTTATATTTTTTTGAACCCCAAAATAAGCGCTTGGCCTTATTTTTGGGGAGGTCTTATCATTTTGGGGCACATGGAGCAAGATGGGGCTCCTCTTGCCATCTTACCTGATTTCCAGTTCTGCGTTTAAATATTTTTGGGGAGGCTTATTTTTGGGGCGAG